GTATGTACCTTTCCTTTCACTTGTTTTTATTTTTATTTTTATTTTTTTAATTATTTTAATGGAAGCCCAATATTTTTGCACTTGTTCCCAGAGCGCTGAGCTGTGCCGGCGGGCTTCAAAAATGAACACAAGGTTCTATTATTAGAAACTTCCGTTAGATATCCAGAAAACATTTAGTTTGGCGTTTCGAAGAATGGATAGTTCAGTAAAAATTTGTTTTAAATATTTTGTGACGAAAATTTTGATTTTTGTCCTATGGACGCAGCCACTGTGCAGTGTGTTAAATGTTTCTGGACAAACCGCATGTATATGTATATGTATGTGTGTAGAATGAGCATACATCATATGTATGTACATATGTATACGTATGTATGTACGATACATGTACAAGTATTTCCAAATAAACATAGCAACTGTTTGCCTGGCAGTTCCCAAAATTCTGTCTAATTCTAATAGAGAGAGGTGTAGAAAAGAGAGGAGAGGAGAAGAGAAGCGAAGAGAAGAGCCCTAATAATATGTAAATACATAGCTGAGCAATGGCAATAATTGTGGAATACTAGGAATTGCACGAAAGTGTTCAATGGGTTTGTGACGTCACAGCGTCGACTTGAGCTCTGTTAATCTACATGTTAAACTACCAAGATTCTGATTTCTATTTCGATAAACTTAACTATTAAACCTTTTAATTGGCTTAACGATGTATATCGGCGAATGCTGGCTATTGGAAAAACATCGATATTGATGTCTTTATCGAAAGCTAACTATGTACATATGCATTTTGGCAGCATCACAGATGATGTTCGCATTGCAGAAGTTACAACCTTCGAGAATAAAAGAAACTTCTTTTTCAGGCAGGGTTGCCAATCTCACCAACATATTCGAGAACCTTCTGATGACTTAACGAAAGCCCAATATCGATGCTAGAACATTCCGGATATGGCATCGATACTGGAACGTCGATGCTTCCAGCAAGAAAATCTGCCACTTGCATTGAACCACGTGGAGCGAAAAGTCAGTTCTGCTTTCTTCCTGCATTTTATTTTCTGTGTTCTTGAAAAAAGAAAAAAAAAAAAACCAAACCTTAAAATGGCTCAAGTTTTGTGCTCGTTGGCTAGCGATCTGCCATGGAAGCTTACGGATCTGCAGATGGTGCATGTATTTTGCAGCGAAGGTAGGACTTATACGAAGCCCACCACCTTGGGCTACTATCGTGCACCCTCGGACAGGGAGTTTCCGCTGGACATGGTGACGGGCTTCAAGTCGTTCGTTAGATATGAGAACCGTTACTCTGGTAACGGGATGCACTTGTTCAACTACATCATGCAGTTGGAGCGCCCGTTGAGCGTGCTGGAGCATGTCGATTTTTGCACCAGCAGCGGCACCTTGCTGAAGATGATGTGCCAGAACGACTTTACGGTGCTGGCGACTAGATATCGCAACACCATTTACTTAAAGACCCTACCGTTGCCGAACTACCTAATCAAGTCGGACTCGTCCTGTTTGTTTAAATTGCGTCAATATCTGTATGTCGGTGAGTGCACGTGTTTTTTTTTTAATGCAATTCTACATAGTTTCCCATTCGATTCGGATCGAGTCTGATTTCCGTATGCGCATTGACATGCATTTCACAGATCAACCTGGCGATATGCCCAACATGAACGCTTGTGTGGATCTCAATAAGCAAAATATTGGGACCTTTACGGCCAAGTTGGGCAAATTCCGTCTGCTGTACACGGCCGAGGTGTTCGGAGTGCAGAACACCGAGCCCTTGGGCGATCTGTAAGCATTTGAAAAAGGCCTCTTGGGCATTTGTGATACCTTTCCATTCCATTCGATAGAGATGACCCGGAAGTTCTGAAGCAATGCCGTCTATCATCGGTGCGCTTGTATCCCCATCATGCTCCGAACTGGCGTCGCAACTATCGCATGAAACGTTGGCTGCTCAATGCCTATCTGGCTGGCATAGAGGAGATGCAATTCGCCCCCACCAAGAGGGGCATGATCCTCAAGCCGATTACCATCGTAAACGTGGAGTCTGCTATTAAGGCAAGCAGAGCTTGAGAAATTCCCAGCCGATATTAACTCATCTGTTTCTGTTTCTCGTTCCCATCTAGGAGCAGCCGTGGAGTCTATCCGAATCGTTGCAGACGATGCATCTGCTTCTCACTGAGATTAGCAAGGCCATGGTCAACATTGACTGTCCCCACACCACTTTCATCTTCAACCTAAGGGACAACATCGTGACCTACAGGCGCATCTATGGCAAGAACGATAGCAGCTTCCTCGTTGACAGATATGTGAGATTCCTTTCGGAATTGCAATGAACTTGGACTGCAAACGAATGCAAATACATCAACAACTGATACATCATACATACTGAAACTCATACATAAGCTGAGTCACTCATACACATTTCTGTGTCAATAAATTTCATTTCTAGAAATTTACATCAATTTCTATTTATTGC